CTCTCTCTCTCACACACAAATTACCTACATCTCTTTCTCCCTGACAGACACCCACACACCATAGCCCCCTCTTTCACAGTTCGACCTCATCCCTTTGCACAGGGGCTTCACCCCCACTAACCCCACACATGCACACGTGCGTGGACACACACACACACACACACACACACACACACACACACACACACACACAAAGAAGAAGAAGAAGAAGAAGAAGAAGAAGAAGAAGAAGAAGAAGAAGAAGAAGAAAACAAGAAGGATAAATAACCGTAAAGTTGCCGTAAACCAGTTAACCATAAGTCAACTTTCAATTGGAGAGTCTGACTTCCATTACTGCAGAGGTTAACCATTGTGAAACCAACATCCACCAATGCGAGCTGCGTTTTACATATGGTTTTCTTTGTTAACAGGAGAACGATACTGATAAATTAATGTAAGAGCAGCCAGACACTGTATAGTACCCCAGTACATTGTGCCGGGCTTTTGTGAACGGCCGTCCGAACGCCCCCCGTACCGTCTTCCCTCGAACACAACGCACACACAGTTCTACTGCATCGGGCTGGTAACATATCTTGTATACGTTCATTTTCAGCGTGCGTTATGTTCGGGGGAAGACGGTAGGGCACAAAAACCAATACAATTGATCATTTTGGGAAGGATATGGGGTCGCACTCTCCTACTGTCACTCTCAAAACATCGAGTGAGCGAAATTTGGAGAGTCCCCCGTCTGCAACTTACCTTTTTTTGAGTGGTGTCCTCAACCGTTCTCGTCCAGCAACCTCGCTTTTCGAGAGTTCACCAAGTCGGGTGGACAAAAGATGTGTTCAGGAGCCTCGCTCCACTACTCTCAACATGCACAAAAGACAAAAACCATGGCTATGTATCTTTCCATGTTCTTGCGGAAGATTCACTCTCGTTTTGTACCTTGGGGTTGGTCAAGCTTTGGGCCACCCTAGCCCATCGAGAATGAAGATCACACGTTCTACCTCAATAGATTTCGCGGAAAACCAGCTATCTCCGAGTTTGATTGGCCTTTCCAATCATCTCTAGTTGTCACTAGAGGTTAGACTATACCTTTATCTCACTCGTAGGCGGAAGGCGGCGTCATACGTCTACGCTTTCCATCTTCATATGCTATTTCGAGAGCAGTGGAGCGAGGCCCTAGGTGCCAGTTAGTGCTGTCACGCAGTGCTCTCGAAGTTCGAGAGTCCCACCATCGAGAATAAGGGCCTCACCACACAACTCTCGAAATGTGTAAAATGAGAATGAACTTCCCGCTAGAACATGGCCAGATGCACCCACCAATTTTTGTCTTTTTCACATTTCGAGAGTGGTGTGGCGAGGCCCTAAGTGGAGCTAAGATGGGTTTTTCAAAGTTTTTTGGGGTCTGAAAGCTCTCAAAGGACTCAATTTTTTTGGAGGGTGGGAGTAATGGAGCAAGACCCATATGTTGTAGTCTTGTAGAACTACTCATTCTGGACGACTTTTGCCAAAGTTTTGCCTTTTTCATAGTGATCGCATTATACAGGGAAATAAAAATAGAAACTACAAGGAAAAAAAAAAAAATCAAATAATAAAAAAATACTAAAATAGAAATAGCTACTCGGAAGTTTCGAGTTTGGATGGACAATAGAAACTCCTTTTTGCAGATAAGTCACAGCCTGAGTTTTAAATCCAGAACAAACTCAGGCCGACACTTGTCTCACAACCCACGTAGGGCCTGAC